GCCCTTCCTTCTGCAATGTTCCCTGGGCCTTGGGAGTATGTGTGACACAGATGTCCCATTTTTATCTGAGCATTCATGGATACTTTGATCGTTATGAGTTTTGTGTTAATCCTGTCCACTGCACAAAGAAGCTTTTCTGATAAGGGCTGAGAGTTGCACTGATCTATGGCTACAGAGACACAAATTTAGAGGGCAGTTTGATACTATTTAGCAAAGTAGTAGGCTCACCTCTAGGGCCTACAAGCTCCCCTGTCATGGTTCTTGGCCAGATTTATAGTACCAGGTGTTAGGGTTCCAAAAAGCCACAGTTTTCCCCCTCCCCAACAGGGACCTCACCTTGACCTTTGGAATCAAGGGAAACAAACTCTGCTGAGAAGCAGCCTGCCTTTCCTCTGACCTCCAAAGATAAGCAGATTCTACCTGTTAACCAGAGATTTTAGAAGCTGTTTTTCTCTCATCTTAAGAGGGAAAAAGTAAACACTTCCACACCCTAATCCTACCTGCTTCCCCCTCCCTGATTTCTCCCTCAAACATTCCCCCTTCCACACCCTAAAGCCCCCATATATAAAGTCCCAGCTCACAACCCGTGGGCGGACATCTTTCTCTGACATCTTTACACCTTTCCCTTCCCTCCCCTCCCCTCCCCTCCCCTTCCCTCCCCTGACATCTTTCCCTTCCCCGAGGGAAAGGTGCCCCGTGCGAAATAAAGCTGTATCCCGCTGAGAATTCCATCTGTGCCTCGGTGCCTTCATCCATCCGCTCGTGCTCTCCATCCACGCCGCTCGCTCCCACCAGCACTCTATCTATCACCAGGCATTTGTTTTCTCCTGTGGGACAGGCCTTAAGTCCTATCAGAAACTGACTGGTTTGCCCCCATAACATTTTTAACACTATTGAATCCATGGGCTTATCTTGCCAGACTGTTCTTTATTGTATGTAGTTCACAGGGTTCACAGCTTGGATAAGACTGCTGATTTTTCTCTCTCAGCAGGCTTTCATAGCACCTTCTGGTGGTATGAAAACTAGTCAGCAAGAAGGAACCTTTCCTGTCAGTACCAGCTTGATTTCTCCAAAATATGTAGTGTCTTCAGCAATAGGGTCTAGATGGACAATAATCTTGTATTGTTTTGAGGGTCTCTGGGACATGGACCAACAACTTCCGGGGAGGTGGCACTGGGCTTTTCATTTGGCATCCTATAGTCTTCTGGAAGGCTCATTATTCCCTGTACAGGGTAACTATATGTCTACATGAAACTTTAAGAAGCTTATTATATAGTAGGTTTCCATATGGCATTTAATGATTCCTTAGTGTTAACCAGCCCTCCTCTTTTCCATTCCCCCGCCTTACCCTTCTGTCCCCTTCCCCACTTAAACCTTCTCCCTCATTATCCCCATTTCCCCTTCATATCACCTGTGTTCTACTACCCCTAAAGTTTTCACATTCCCATGGCCCTCTTCTAATTTCCTGGCTCCAAGAGGTTCTAATTTAAACATAAAAATCTAAAGTTTCACTGCTAGGACCAACATATGAGAGAGAACAGGTGGTTATCTTTCTGGGCCTGGGATGCTTCATTCAGTATAATATTTTTTTTCAGTTTTATCCACTTACTTGCAACTTTCATAATTACTTTTTCTCTACAGCTGAATAAAATTTCGCCACTTTTTCATTATCCATTCATGTATTGATGGGCATGTAGGTAGTTTCCATTTCTGGGCTATTGTGAATAGAGCAGCAATGAATATGAATGAGTAAGTGCCTCTATAGCAGGCCACAGAGTCTTTTAGGTATATGTCCAGGAGATTATATGGTAGATGTGTTTTTAGCTGTTTAAGGACACTCCACACTGAACCATACCAGGTTTCACTCCCACCAGCAATGAATGAGGATTCCTCTTGCCTCAAAATCTGACCATTACTCTCTTAATCTTAGCCATTCTCACCAGGTAAAATGAAATCTTAAAGCACATTTTTAAAAACAAATAAAAAAAAATTTTTTTTTTATTTTATGTGTATGCATGTATTGCCTGCATGTAGGTAAGTGCACCCGTGTTGTGCAATGCCCATGGAGGACAGAAGAGGTTGTCAGATCCCCTGGAACTGGAGTTACAGACAGTTGTTAGCTGCCATGTGGGTGTGGGGATTCGAACCCAGGTCTTCTACAAGAGCAACCAGTGTTCTTAACCACTGAGCCATCTCTCCAGGCCCTCTTAAAGCACTTTTAATTTGCATTTCTGTGATAACTACAGGTGCTGAACACCTTTAAAGTTATTTCTTGGTCATTTCTATTTCTTCCTTTGAGAACTGTCTGTTCAGTTCCAACACTCACTTTTAAATTATATTGTTTGCTTTCTTGGTGTTTAGGTTTTTTTTTAGTTCCTCATATATTACAGAAACTAATCCTCTATCAAATATATAGGTAGCAAGGAATTTTTTCCCTGTTCTGTAGGCTGCCTCTTCTGTTGATTAACTGTTTCCTTTGCAACAGAAGTTTTTTAATTTCACAAGGTCCCACTTACTGATTGTTGGTTCTATATCCTGCAAGACAAGGGTCCCATTCAGAGAGTCCTCACCCGAGCCTATATCCTGAAGTACACTCCCTATTCTTTCTCTAAAATTTTCAGAATTTCAGGTTTAACACTGAGGTCTTTGATCCATTTGGAATTGGTTTTCTTCAGGGTGAAAGATAAGAATCAAGATTGATTCCTCTATATGCAGATGTCCAGTTTTCCCAGCACTGTTTGTTAAAGATTCTTTCTTTTTTCCCAATTCCACTTTACTTTTAAGGCAGGGTCTTTCACTGAACCTGGAACTCTCCGCTAGAGTGGTGGGCTAGCAAATGCCAGAGATCTTCCTGTCTCTGCCTCTCCAGCACTGGGATTACAGGTACACACCATCACATCCAGCTTTTATGTGGATCCAAACACAGGTCCTTGTGCAGTAAGTCAAACTGACTGAGCTATCTCCCCTTACCCCTTGCCCCAAAATTCATAGTATCATATCACACAACTCAGTAGCTCATCCTCAATACATTATCAGACAATATTCTCATAAATTCAGCTGAAGATTACTGTTTATAATAGTAAAAAAAAAAAAAAAAAACAACTTACACCTAAAATTACCACCAGTGAGGGATAGAGAATTCTTAGTATTGTACATTCTTAGAGTAAAATACATGTACCTATGTGAACATGAGGATACAAACCCACAATGACAGGAGTATAGCAAAGCAGCATCAAAGAATTGCCAATGGCTAAAGCTGAAAAGCTTTGAGCAACAGAGTAGCTTTGGCTAATCCAAAGTATAAACATCTATTAGTCTTTATCATCATCACTGATAGTATGAAGGGGGAAGAACAGATAAATCACTGAGGCTGAGAAATCACCTGTGCAAAATCCTAAACCAGGCGTGGTGGCGCATGCCCTAATCCCAGCACTTGGGAGGCAGAGGCAGGTGGATCTCTGTGAGTTCAAGGCCAGCCTGGTCCACATAGTGAGTTCCAGGCCAGGTGGGGCTACAGGGAGACCCTGCTTCAAAAAGACTAAAAAAAAAATCCTAAATAATTCCTCTAGACCCTCTTACCTCAGTGAGGTGAAGCACAATTCCCTACTCCTTAAGTACTGATTGTCAAGAGTATAGAACAGAAAAGAGAAGAAAAGAACTTTCTGGGATGGGATGGGGGTACTACACACACACACACACAAACATGCTATCCCAGAAAGGCTGATCAAAGTCAACATTAACACTCAAATAACTTTGTATCTTTGAAAGCATATACCCTTGAAAGGAACCAATGACCATGTTCTTCACCTTTATCCCCCAAATTCTCAACCCCAGTGTGACCACAAGAACAGCAATTCTCAGTTGAGCAATATTTTCTACACATCTGACTAGTATATCTCAAAATTATCAGTCATTTTAAAAAAAAGAAGGAAAATCTGAGAAACTATCACAACCAAGAAGACTCTAAGGAGACAAAAAGACTAAACGTGGTGTTGATGTCCATCTAACGGCGTCCATGAATACAAGATGACACTGGCAAAAACTGAGGAAATATGAATGAGCCATGAGCTTTTGTTAATAATAATGTATCAGTAGTCACACACTAGTTTTGTGTATGGCATTATTGTGAAGTACTAATTAATAAGAAACTGTGGAAGTTGAGTATATCAGAATTCTTTATAGCAGTCTTGCAAATTTTTTTTTTTGTAAATCTGAAGCTTTTTAAAAAGAAAAAGCACCACCACGCCCAGCTAGTTGGGATTTTTTTGTTGTTGTTGTTGGTCTTTTTGAGACAGGGTCTTCCTGTAACTCCAGCTGGTCTGGAACTCACTATGTAGATCAGGCTGGCCTCAAACTCGCAAAGATCCCCCTGCCTCTGCCTCCAACGTGCTGGGACTAAAGGTGTGCGCCACCACACCTGGCCTCTTTTAATACTATTTTTAGATAAAGTTATGTGTTTATAATGACATGGGGTTTTGGCCAGTAAATAATATATGAAAGCTATAAACAGCATGCATATTCTGAACATATTTATGACAAAAATATAGGTATTTATTCACCAAAAGAAAAATCTATACATCAAAATGTTAACCTCTGAGTGGTAAATTATTATTTTCAAAGCTTCTTTATCGCTTTCTGTATTCTTTGATTGTTTTTCCCACTAAACAGAGACTACTGCTAGCATTACATCGCATTTCTTCTACAACCAGGAACAAAATTTTTTTTTTAGGGGAGGCAGGTGTATAGTACAGAATCAACTAGTATATTCCACAGTTCAAAATAGTATCCCTTTAGCCAGGCATGGTGGTGCATGCCTTTAATCCCAGCACTTTAGAGGCAGAGGCAGGTGAATCTCTTTGAGTTCAAGGCCAACCTGGTCTCCAAAGAGAGTTCCAGGCCAGCTGGTGCTACAGGGAAACCCTGTCTCACCCGCCCCCCAAATCCTTTATAAAATAGTCAAATTTACTTTTTCAAAGGGGATTTTTTTTTTCTTTCAGTAGGAATGTGTCCTAGGCATGAAACAGCTTTGACCACTGAGCCAGGCATCAAGCCAGGGTGAACAAAGGACACCATCTGCTCTGCCCTCAACTGATATAAGAACACCTCCACCATGAGGTGTCTCTTTGTCCATTGCCAGGGGGTTCGATGAGAAAATATTTTAAAAGGCAGCATAGAAAAGTGACTGAAAGCCTAAGAATTAGTCAGACAAGATTAAAATCCTAGTTTCATCACTATCAGCATGGCATTGGACAGCTGCTAACCTTCCTTGATTTTCTCTTATTTTAAAGATGATATAACAAAGCCGGGCATGGTGGTGGCATGTCTTTAGCCCCAGCACTCGGAAGGCAGAGGCAGGCAGATCTCTGTGAGTTCAAGACCAGCCTGTTCTACATAGTGAGTTCCAGGACAGCTGGGGCTACAGGGAGACCCTGCCTCAAAAAAAAAAGAAAAAAGATGATACAGCAGAGCTACTAAGTTGCAGAACTCCCCCAAAATTTATCTGCATAAATACAAACCGCATACTACATATGTTTGTTATATAAAATATATTTCATAACTTCAAATTAGAGAATTAGATAATACCAAAGAGTTAGATCTATGTCAATAGCCTGGCCACTCTGGTGTCTATTATTACTGGTAATACTAATAAAAAAATTACTCGTAAAAATGAAATACTGTAGGAAAAACTTAGTTTATCAAACAATATCATGGAACAAAGACAAAACCAGCACCTTGGCTCATTTTTAACTCTCCAACATTCCTGCTAAATAGATCTTCATTATGACAATTAAACATGCTGTAGTTAATATGTCTATAGTCTCACTGAGATCTCAAGAGAAAGCTAACCAGCTTAAACTAAATGTTCAAATATTACTGTGCCTTTCAAAGAGACTACAGTTGTCCTATAACATGTCCACAGTCTCACTGAGACTTCCAGTGAACTCAAGTGATAGCTAAACACTTAAACTAAAATATTCAAGTATTGTTGCACCTTTCTAAATACAGTGTTCCTACATATGAAGACAAATGAGTCAATACAAATTAGTACCAGACATAAAATATACACAAAACTTATTTAAATTCCTTGACTGTAATTTTTTTTTTTAATCTAAAAAAGCATTTGGTTTTTTTGCCCAAGCTGGCCTCAAACATTCCGTGTAGTCAAATGACCTTAAACTCATGGTACTCTTGCTTCTACCTCCCTAGTTCTGGAATTACAGGAGTATACCACCACGCCCAGATTAAAAAGGCATTTGAGATGAAACATATTTTTTATCTTTCTCAAAATATTAAGTTTAAAAAGAAATCTTAGGTTTTACCAACAAAGCTATGGCCACCTAATTTTTGACAAAGGTGGCAGAAACATGTAGTGAACAAAAGAGAGGCTATTTGACAAATGATGCTGGTAAAACTGAATATTCACCTGCAGAAGTATGATTTGGATCTATATCTTTCACCTTTTACAAAAATCAATTCAAAATGGATCAAAGGCCTTAAGTTAAAACCTGAATGCTGAAATTGTTAGAATTAAACAGAGAGAATACTCTTTAAGACACTGCGGTAGGCAAGAACTTTCTGAACAGAACTCCAATAGCACAGGAAATGTAGCCCCAGCACAGGAAATGTAGCCCCAAGAATTGATAGGGCAACATGAAATTTAAAAGTTTTCATATGGCAAAATAACTTACCAGTAGAACTTATAGCGCACAGAATAGGAGAAAATCTTTACCAGCTATGCTTCGGACACGAGGTTAATATCCAGAATTTACAAAGAACTGTAGAAATTAAATACCAAGGAAATAGGGCTGGAGAGATGGCTCAGTGGTTAAGAGCACTGACTGCCCTTGCAGAGGATCTGGGTTCGATTCCAACACCCACATGGCAGCTACGAACCGTCCTTAACTCCAGTTCCAGGGGAATCTGATGCCCTCTTCTGACCTCTGCAGCATTGCACAACACGGGTGCACTCATGTACATATAGGCAATATACTCACACACATAAAATAAAAAAACACTAAATAAAATTTTTTAAAAAATTAAAAATACCAAGAAATAAAACTGCAAAACAAATGAGTTAATGAACACAGTTCTCAAAAGACCAATAACTAATTTTAAGTGTTCAATGTCTCTAGTAATCAAGGAAATGCAAATTAAAACTACTTTGAGATACCATCTCAGAATTGCTGTCACCAAGAAGCTAATAACAGAAGTTGGAGAGATGTGGGGGAAGAGAAACCCTTCTCCACCACTGGTGGGAGTACAAATTAAAAGAGCCATTATGGAAATCAGTTTGGAGGTTCCTCGAAAAAATAAAGATGGAACTACCACATAACCCAACTATTCCACTCCTTGACCCAAAGAACTCCATATCCTACCATAGAGATGCTTGCGTATCTGTGCTTATTTTTGCTGTATTCACGATAGCAAAGAAATGAACCAACCTAGATGCCCATGAACACATGAATGGATAATGAAAGTCTGGTATATATATTGGAGGTTCCTCGAAAAAATAAAGATGGAACTACCACATAACCCAACTATTCCACTCCTTGACCCAAAGAACTCCATATCCTACCATAGAGATGCTTGCGTATCTGTGCTTATTTTTGCTGTATTCACGATAGCAAAGAAATGAACCAACCTAGATGCCCATGAACACATGAATGGATAATGAAAGTCTGGTATATATACACAATAGAATACTACCCAGCT